AAACTTATAGAAATAATAAATTTTAGACTAAAAATTGGAAAGAGGGACCGAAAAATACTAATTATATTACATGAGAGACATACAACTTGTGAGATTTGTTATATAAAGTTTTAACGTAAAAGGAACAAAAAATTGATTAATCTTTACAAATCTATATCGAAACAATAGAACGTGAATATGTATGTATATGATATATTATGATATTGTTAGCCCTTTTTGAGTAGATTTTAAGAATATAAAAATGTCTCCTTTTACTTAGAATGTATTCAACTAAAAATTATTTTTTAAAGTTTCAAAATATTCGGCATTTATATTATCATAAATAATATGTAACGTTGATCATCAGTTTTACTTTTGCAAAATCTAGCTGCAAGTAATAAGTGACTCGTAATGGTAATACATAGAGAAAGAGAACACGTAATATCCGCACGACAGCGCGGCTTAAGTTTAACAGAGCCATCGAGGTAGACGAGTAACTACAGTATTTATATACTGCGTTTCGGTTAGCCAGTAGCATATGTGATTTGTACGTGTTGATAAGAGTAACTACAGAGAAATTGTGTATGGAGTAAGAGCGACTAAATAGTCTGATGAGGGTTCTCGACAAAAGGGAGTATTTCAGCGGGTTAAACGAGCCTTTCTGAACGCTACTGTTCTAGCTGGAAACGTTATTTATTCCTGACTTTCACTAACAATCCTATTTAGCGGTTTCAATTTCCCATCCCTCTCTTTTCCCTATAGTTGGGCACAGCTATTACATCTACGTGCCTCCAATACCGCGAAAATGAACGAGGTATAGAGATAGAATGTTAATGTCGAGCAAACGTATATCTTGATGATATAGTCTGGCATCGAATACAGCTTCTGCATCCGTAAACAAGTATCCGACATCCAATTATGATAGATCTGAAACTCTTCGAAGAGAAAAGTTTAATTCTGATTGTTTATTAATCGAATATTTAGAAACTTATTATATATTTATATTAATGTTCGCGATTTATTTCGAATAAAAGATACTGTAGAAAAATAATCATGATTACATATGATTACAAAATGGATTATAAGATATAGATATAAAATATAAAATGTGTGCGCTGTTTTATGACACACACACACTATATAAAAATCTTACTAATAAATATTTATTTCTGAAAATAAATTAATTATAAGAAGTTAAAGATATAAAGGAAAAATATTGATATTTTTTATTTCCGATATTTTATTTCACAGTATAAGTCGTGCATACTTGATGGTACAACGTACAAATTTCTTGATTAATGAACTTATAGATTATAAATTAGTAATTTGAATGCAACATTTTAATCAAATTATGTTCAATGATGTTATGTTCAGTTAAGTTATGGCTCCAATGTGAGCACCATGCTATCCTAACAGATTTACCTAAGAGCTTAAGCGTATAACGATTTGATATCGTAATTACCGTTTTGGAAAGCAGAATTCTACATGAAACTTGAGCGTTTGTATCAGTGATGCGCATCCTTCAATGTAACTTGTCAACGACAAAAGCCAAAGTTCAATTACGACCGATTTGAAGTTTAATTTACAATGTCCAGGAGGTTAAATAGAACCATATTTGATGATGCAGTGAGAACTAGTACACTAATAATCTGTACCTATGAATGCTCTTTGAATGTAGTTTATTTTTATACATAATATCGAATTAATTTAATTAAAAAGATATTTAGAGAAATTTTTGTAAAAGTCTTGATGACAACTCAATCCGTCATTTGCGTTTACCTCATTATGCAGATTATTAAAAGAATTGTTAAGAATATAAAGTCATATATGGCGTATCTATCTAAATATATGTATGTAGAAATAGAAAAAAAGAAATCTTGCATATGAATTCCTTTTCAAGCGGAAAATTGATTTTGAATATAGGTCGCAGTAATGTTTGACCTCTTCTGGAAACTGACACGAGAAGTCAATAGCTTTTCATAAAAGGCGGATTACGCTTTCGTGCGAATTGCTTTATGAAGACCTTAAGGCACTCAAGAGCCGTCTTGCAAGAGAGCTTTTAACAACGAAAAGCGGAGGATGATGTATTTAGTAACTCGTTCGCGAGTATACCGGAGATGACGACCTATACATATATGTGCATAGGATTTACATAAGCATGTTTTTAAAAGACTGTATTACGTTTTTTATTTTATCTTAAGATTGCATAAAAAAATACAATAAATTGAATACTTTTGAAATGCATAATATACATCCATAATAATATAATTATCTTTATTAAAAAAATATGAATATAAACATGCAAATGCAAAATGAAAAATTTTTTTTTATATGACATTATTATTTCATCTTGCGTTAAAAATAGTTTATAGCTGAACATAAATATTTAATTTTTGATGACTTTGAGTGGAAACTTCATAAATTTCTTTCTATTATTATATGTAGATACATCATTACATTAAAAACAAAAAAAAACTTAAAAGGATGATAAATATAATACGTTCACGCTATCGACACGAACAAATTATTTCAAACATATAATAATTCATTTTTATTTATTTTATAATTTTTATTATAAATGACACTATAATTATTCGTTAAATTATTGATTATAACATTTTTATTAAATGTGTTCGTTATTATATATTACGATTCATTATTATGAGAACATACAGAATATTTAAAATATTAATATAATATTAATAGAAAAGTTATTATTAATAATTTGATAATAATAAAATAAATTTACAAAATGAAAAATTAATTTATGACATGCTAAATTCTGGCGATTTAATTTTAAAGAATTGTGAAATTAAAAAAATATTAATTACACTAATTATTGCTTCAATAATTATAGTAATTGACTAGTTATTGCCAACTAGTTATTACTCTAATAACAAACATCTCCATATAGCTTGATAATCGAAATGATAAGACTGCACGAAATGAAGGAAATCTAGATCTGAGATACTATTTTTGGCAACAAGTCCTTTGCAGTGTTTTAAGATGCTTATTAGCAATATTAGTATTATTATTAAATTGACAATCAATGTAATTTGCGATATTATTTCTAACAGTTTATGATTATATTTCAAGTCTGACAAATTGAATTGGCGAGTTTACAGAACTGAAAAATGTATTAAAACATATATACATTATCAAGCATCAAAATCTGCTTCGATCAACAATGGATTTTTATTTGATTTATTTTTATTGATCTAATTTTCACTTATAATCTAAAAAATATACTTACATTTTACGAGCAAGTCGCTATTCTTTAAATATTGTCGTTGTATAGACTTCTGAAAATAATAGCCCATTTATATCGACCGATTACGTAATAAAAAATAATATAGCTATTTGAACAACGAAACAAAAATAATACAGAAAGAACATTGAAAATGCAGCGTTTCAAAATAAACAAAGCGTACTATGCAAGTATAAACGAAATACAAACGCGATTTATTTCACTATTTGAACAATTTGTATGTACATATGTTAGATATGAGGTATCATTATCATGCAAACCGCAAGGATAGATGCTTGCGTGAAATGCTATACGCATGACATTCTCCATTGTGGGTTTTCACGAATTCCATGAATGCATGCGTGGTTATCATTCGATGGATAACCGAGACCACTATCGAGTTTAACCCTTAAGTACAGAACTGATCATATGCTCTACTCACACACGCACATGCACAGGCGTCTCTCTCACACAGATTACCTTCTTTATGCGATATATCCAGTATATAACATCAATATCTAGAAATTCTATCTATCAATAACCGTATATGCGTGTGCGTGTTTTCCTGTGTGTGTATGATGTGTTTTACTCTGTGCGTATACCGTGTGTCGCTGTATGATTTAAAAATAAACATCCAGATATTTTAAATATAAACATGAAGTATTTCGTTCTTGTTGCTTCTAATCTATTGGTAATTGGAAATGATATTGAATGCTTTTATTTGAAGCTATTGGTATTTGTCGCGATATTCAGTTATTTTTATATCAAATCTATGAAAAGAAATAAATCGGTAAAGATAGCGGCTGTCAGCTATTTTTCTTTAACAGTGTAGCTATCAATGCTTTTAAGAAATAATTATACTTTATTGAAATAACGTTATTGTTTGTCTTATAAGGAAAGTAAGTACAATGTATAAAATATAAAAGCGTTTTAAATTTAGCAACGAAAATTTATATATCTTTATTAATACTACAAACATCTTATTATATCAAAATTATGAATTTATATTAGAATTATTTCCAAAACATTTTAATTTTTTTTGATTTTACAAGATTTCAACATTTCAACGAACTATGACCTTATTGATTATATTGACATTTCCCTCTTTTCTAGATTTTCTTATATTAATGTAAAAAGCCCTGTAAAATTTACATGTAGATATAAAATGTGCAGATGCAAAATTAGTATATGCATGCGTAAGAAAAATGGAGAGTCACAGCGCACGCGACATTTAAAAATGGCGTTAGGTCACCGGAAGGACGTAACCTTGGTCTATAAAGTGATGTCAAAGAAATCTCAAGATATTAATCCTTTAATACCGGAACTTCATTTTACAATGTCCTCAAACTTCGATATTCGTTGAAATTTGTTAATATATTCAAATACACAATTTTTATAGTTATTTTATACTTATATTTATAATATTTTATTTTTATATCTATATTTTAATTTTAATTGATTCTGAAATTACATTTTGTAAACGAAAAAGTAAATTAAAATTTACTAACTATTTAAAGAATTAAGATCTCTATTATTTAATTATGCGCGGCATTACGAAAAATTGGAAACATATAGAAAACTTTTTCGAATAAAATCCGTTAGTCTTTTCAAGTACATTTTGCAGTTAAATATTAAGTATTTAGTAGTTTATGTTTATTGGAGTAAGCTTTTTATCCGATTTCCTAGTTATCAGACAATGTATGCATAATTCGTACTTAACAATCATGCCGCGAGTATAATTATTATTGTTGACGTCTCGCCCGCATTGTTGCAGAGGACCATTCAGCGTCGTTCGGAAATGCATTCACCGTCACACCGGGCAAATTTTTGCCGTAAAAATCGTCGATGTGGCGAAATTCACCTCTAGTCCTGGGCTCAGTACTGCGGGTGAGTACATATTGTATAAGGATGACGTAGATATATATACACAAAGAAGATAAAGAAATATCCGGAGGTGTCTTTTCCCGATTTCGAGTTTCTGATATTTGAGAAGCTTAATAAAAAGCGCAGATTTTTCATGCATTATACATAATGTACATTTAAACATCGAGCAGTCAGAAGTTGATAAATATATTTAATAAAATATTTCTCCGAAACTTTAAAATATCAGATAAAATATTTTCGAGAAACAAGAGTATAGATATTTTTGTAACATTAAGAGATCATTTTGAGATTCATGTCCTTTGTAATCTGTGATCAATAATGAAGTGCTTTAATTTGGCACATTTTAATTTGGAAGTGCTTTAATTAGTAACATCACTTTTATATATTTTGCAATTCCTGTAATATTCGGATAGGGATAAATAAAGTGATTTAAATTTTACTGGGCTATTTTTCCATTATACAAAGAGTCCATTACACAAAATAGTCTCTCAGTTTTACTTTCTTTATTCAAATAAAGGAAAGACCACTTCTATCGGTTTGTAAATACCCTTCCATTAATTTTCACCATGTTTTCGAAACAAGGCCTATACTTCCCTATCCGTCCACCTACTGACAACGTACGCTGCCTTCCCCAATGCTGCCGACTGACTAAACATAGGTTCGAGTTGTGAACCGACGTGAAAGCCATTGTGCAATTGAATGGAAAGGCGGACCATTGTCGCCGCGCACATTTTTCGGGGATTTAACTCAACGTACCAGTCGACAGGTCTAGATGAAATATACGAGAAGAACGCATTGTTTAAAAACCAGTTTTTTCTAATAAAGCGCCTTTTTTCCGGAAATGAGAGTAATATTTAATTTTTGCTGATAGCATGAAACTGGTGAATCAGTTGTGAACATACTATGAGCACACATGTGAACATACTATAGCTGTGTGAGGAGAGAAAACGACTTTTTTCATATAATTTCTAAATTCCCTACGGCATTACTGCAATAAGTCAGAAAAAAGAGAACTAAAAACCTCCCATAAGTATATCATATGTATTAATAATGAGACAGATGTTCATTTAAGGTACCATATGGAATCTCTTTAGGATTATATGGACCTCACGTGGAAATATCCGGAAACATATGCGAACAGAGTATATCTCGTTCCTATTCATGAAACATAACTTTATGTATGAAGTAAGACATTCATTTCGCTAGATGTCGTAAAATATTAGTTTTCTTGTTCACTCTTCGTTATTATTTTTCTTTCTCATTTCCATTATACGTATTACTTGATCAAAGTTAAGATTAAATATTTTAATATTTTAATTATTTGACATTATATTTTTTGCTAAATTATGTTTACTAATAACAATATGTTAAAATTTTTTAATTAGAAATTAAACCGTGTTACCGAACTAATTTGCAAATGGAAAGTACAATTTTATTCTTTAGCTTTAGATAAAGTTTATATTAATGAGATTTTAATTTAGTACTTATTTGCAAAGATATTTAATTACGAAGTTGTAAAATAGCTGCATGTATAATTGAGTGATAAGTTTTATAAGAGTTCATATTGCTGTTTTTATTAGTTGAAGAATTTATCAATGAAAGATTCATTGATAAGTTTCGTTATTCTTTATATTTATGTGCATCAAACTTTTATAAAAATTTACTAATTAATTTGAAATTAATTAACACTTACTTTTATAGGAATGTGTAAAATTGTAAAAGAAATATAATTTGTTAAAGAATTTTTATGTTGTTTTACAAGCTCGCACACTGAATGTTTTAATGTTATTAAATAAGTCTTTGTTTAAAATTATCGTAAATAGTTTTTTATATTTTTTTATTATACAATTTTTTTTAACACGACTAAAAGATATAAACTATTCCGTTATTGCAGTCGATTTTCGTAGTTTTGCTGTTCGTAACTTTGACTACAGATTCCATTGTAGTTGAATGCAGATACAGTATCGAAATTGACTTTAATAAAAACTGGGAAACGAAGTTTTTTCGCATTCAATCCAGATTCAGTATCTATAGTTTCGTTTAACTAGAATAAGATTAAAATTATCTATTCTGATTTTATAGGCATCTATATACAAAGTATTTATTTTCTTTAGATTTTTTGATATAAATAGATTGTAATAGAAAATTTAAATAATTTTATACATTCGTAATGTAATATAATTTGTATAATAATATTAATTTCTTATTTAAGTTGACAATATTGAAATTTCAGTTACACAATACACACACGTATGCATTTTGCAAATAAATAATAATAAATAATGTTTTTATTAGAAAATTTTTTGACATTATTTCTTGTCGTAAATTTCTAAAAATCTTAAATTTTTTAACATTTTTATAACAAAGGGGATTGCGTTAAGAACCTCTCCAGTAAAGCAAAATTTGTTTAAAACAATTTGAACCATGTTTAGTCAGTTTTAATCTCCATCGTGTATAATGCGTGAATGCCGTCTGCTGAGTTAAATCTACGTTTCGTATGTTTTAGATTTGAAACGGGAAGCTACAATATGCCATATGTTGAAACATCCACATATTGTAGAACTGCTGGAAACTTACAGTTCCGAGGGCATGTTATACATGGTATTTGAATAGTAAGTATGCAAGAACGAATATATTTTATATTTTGAGAAACATATTTCTTTATTTAGCTCATCAACAAATTTAATTGTAATTTGACAAAAATAAATCGCGATAGAAACAAACTTATTCTACTTAATGTGCAACATTTATCTAATTACAATATTTTATCTAACAATAAGTTAGATACAATAACCTCTAGTCTTACAAAATTAAAACTGTAAAAAATAACTATAGCATAAACTATTATAATTATATTCTTTCAATCATGAACTTTCAATGAGTTTTTTTTAGATATGCAACTTTTCGAAAGGCGTCAATCTCGTCCTTTATATGCCAACAAGTCTACTCTCTCATTTTCCTGGCGTAATTACTACCTTCAGGCTAATGAAACGTTATGCTCGTAACATATGAAATGGAAAAGCATTACGTTTGTCGAAAATGAGAGACTCGGCAAAATAAATACGTGACATTTCCTTAACGGCTCTATCTTTACTCAGGAAAAGCACGTTTTCCATTTAGTTGTTTGCTATCTATTATAACGTTCTACTATAGTTCGCTATAATTGGATACACACATCCGAGGTGCTCTCGAAATAATCTACGCTATCGGATAAGATAGCTATGGTTTTTAATAGACTCGGTGCTCAAGGCGTTTTTAACGAGACTATTTAAATAATATGACACTCAACCACACTTCATTATTTCTTTTAGTTTAATGGGATATTATTTATGTCATAAAAAAAATTCTTATTCAATGACAACATTATCAATATGACACGATTAGATGTACAAATATTATTTTAATCTATAATTTTCTGTGAATTAGTTAAGTAGATAAATAAGTATCAATGAAATAATTTAAAAATGATTCATGAATAATTAAAATAAATAGGAATTATAGAACAAGAGAAATATTCAAATTAAAACAGATCCATTTACCGTATCACCGGATATTCCTATTTCAATATTCCATTTCTCTTTCAGTATGGACGGCTCTGATTTATGCTTCGAGGTCGTAAGACGAGCAACTTCTGGATTCGTATACAGTGAAGCAGTTGCAAGGTAAGAAATTCATTATATCTGTCATCGCGCGATGAGCACACTGCGCGAACGTCGCGAATCCACAGCAGACAGTATATCCATTTAAACATTATCCGCTAAAGCTGAGACATCGTTTACTTTGGATGTAGTACGATACGCCGGCATTATGTCGCATGAATACATAATATTCTGTATTATTCCGTCCTAAAATTTCCAAAAGCTTCAGCCAACAGTGGCTATATTAAATTTATCTTTTATTACTTACATTTTTTCAAAAAAATTAAGACATGTAAAAAATACATATCCGAAAGGTTTACAGAACATTATTCTCGATGAAATACAATTATCGCATAGCATCTAGATTTAATACGTACTCCTACACGATGAAAATTACTCTAATCTGTTTATCAATTTTATTAAGGCGATGCCTTCAAGATGAAAGAAATTTGATAAATTAATTGTTTTCATCGAGTCACTTGGAACTTGGAGTACTGAAACATGATTACCTTTTGTATGTTACTTGATATAATGCAAACGGATTCTCTCTCTCGAGTCTCCCTGGAGCGTAATAAATCTCTGTCTCGATAAATCCTTGACTGCGATCTATTAGATTCGCTATACTCGTTCATGTCACGCTTGAAGTAACAGTAGTCTTCACCTCGAGAGGACCCTATTAAAACTGTTCACAAATATGTCTTATATTTTTGACACTACGAAGAATTATTAGATAATAAGTCACGTTTAATATAGTCTCTCTGATAGAAACTACGAAATGATATCTGATTATAAAAGGAAGATATATACATTGCAAACCGTTTTCACGCATTTAAGTACTTAGCAAATATCTATGTATTCCCCCAGGATCAGATACGATATGTAATCTCGATGATAGAAATTATACACGAAATAATATTTGATCGTAAGAGGAATATATACATTTCAAACTGTTTTTGCATGTTTAAATATACTTAGGAAATATCTATATATTTTCTATATTTAAATGTATAGATATTTTATATCTATATATTTCCCCAGGATCAGATATAAATCCTTTTCAAATCTTTACTTTCTTTTGTCTGAAAAACATGCTTTTCTGTTGTTCGAATTCCTCAGAATCAAAGACTTTATATTAATATTACATATCGGATACACAAACGTTATGGATTCACTGCATGTAGATATCTCACATTACAACGCGCTCAAAAGATCGATCTCAAAGTCTTTGATTGATATGGTGAAAGTGCAACGAATATGGTGTAGTAAATAACTGCATCGTTTTTGTCCGTGCGGTATTTCATATTTTGCATCATCTTCTGGCAATACACTGTGCCATCAATATCTTGTTTTTATTTTAGACCGTATTTCCTTTTTGCATACTTTGTAAAAAAATACTAGTGATAATGTCAAAAGTCAGTTAGAAAGAGTTTTATACTGTATACAACTGTACATGAAAAATGTTACTCCAAAACGTATATTTATCTATTAATTAAATTTAAGTAATATGTTATATATAATAGTATTATTTTATTTAATAACTCAAAATAAACACAATTAAATAACATTGTTAATACAGTTTATTACGTTTACTTGTTTATAACATAAATTCGTAATTTGGATGTGTATTTATATTATTTAGTATCTTGATTCTTTATCGAATGAATTTATTAAAACTTCGTGTCGTAAAAATCACTACACGATGTAACGAGGCATGCCTTAACCGCTGTATTTAAATTCTCAAAAAGAACTGGTTCTCTCTCTGTGTCGCGCGCAAATGCTTCTCCTGTGCGGCCTTTGCTATTGTTCTCGGCTGAGGGCGTACTTTCGTGACGTATTCAGGGAGAGGTATGGTGTTAACGCCGGCACCTAAGAAAACTGCATTTTCTTTTGCAGTCACTACATGCGACAGATCCTCGAAGCATTGCGTTACTGCCATGAGAATGACATTATTCATCGTGACCTGAAGCCGCAGTGCGCCCTCCTGGCTGGCAAGGAAAATTCCGCCCCGGTGAAGCTGCGCGGTTTCGGCGTTGCCGTGCAACTCCCGACCTCGCAATCTAATGGCGTTGGTATGTTCATACCTTCTTCTAATTCACTTATGTTTTCTTTACGCGATCTATTTTACGTGGCGTAGAGATTCACGTCGAAAGTCGTGCGACTTCAGCTCTGGGATGCCCGACCTCCATTATTAATGATTCTCTATCAACTTCCAACAAAGTTCTATATACGTTTGACACATACGACCATTATCACATAAAAATAACTCTATTAGTTTGAAAAATGGCTTTAAGCCAACGTCTATTAAATATACGTACCTTTTAAATTTAGTTAAATCAAAAAAATTCGGAAAAAAGTTGTCGTAAGTAAAGTTTTAATGTTGAAAATTAATTTAGAAGATATTGAGTTTAACGTTTAAGATATCAAACGCGATTAAGAAATAATGACAGTACAGTTTTGATAAAATAATAATGAAGCTTTTAATTTTTATGAATTAATTTTTTATCAGTTTTTAAAATTTTTATTTTTTCAATAAATATTAATTGTCACATATCGAAATTTAATTAAATTTAAACTGCTTGAAAATATTGATTGCATCTGAAAATCTTTTAATTTTTTATAAAAATATCAAATCTGTAATTTCTTACGTAGAGTAGAATTTTATAGATGCTTGAGATTTACTTGCATGTCTTACATTATAATAAAATTTTTTTATTAATGAAAATAACACGAGAGAAGTATTTAATATTATTACTACCATAGTCGAAGGAAGTCAACTTTGTAAAATTAATTTTCGCAAAGTTTGCTTGTACATTTTGAATTAGTTTGCTCAAAATATCTCACCGATAAAAAATATCATTTCGAGAGATTTTTTTGTTATTCCAATATGTTGAAAAGACATATCGATCAAGTCATGGTAACAAAAACATCACTTGAAACATTACTTGAACTGAAGTATAAAATCATCGAGACGTAAAAGAGAATTTACTTAGGCTATGCAAATGCCCCAAACACTTTACGTTTTCCTCTATTCCGTGACATAGTTCACGAGAGCTGACGTCGTGCTGCTTTTAGCGCGACAGCATTAAAATTACTAAATTTTTCATAATATTTTTAAGTGGTGTCGGCGCTAGGCCAGAGGCGAAAATAGGACAACATCGACGTTATTAAGGATGAATAGGGAGGTTAAATTTCGAAATATTCAACTTTTATTGCCTCGTGATTAATAGCTTTCACAGAAAGTAATACGATGGCTTTTCTACAATCATTCATAACAGAACAAAATATTACTTAATAGAACTCTTTACAAATATCACAAATATATATTTAAATGCTACATAAATTGTGATATTTTATAGAAAACATGAATTTAAAGATAAATCTTCTCCAAAATTTCACCTGACCTGGCACCAACATTACTTATATTTAGCAAAATGTGCGCTGACGTAAATTATATTTACGCGTAATATAATTATACGCTTATTCCATCTACAAACTGACTGAGAGGCACTATTCAATGCTCATACATCTATATTATCGAGGCTCATATATCTAGGTATCTATGTCTAGTTTAGTGGTATACACGAAGCGAAATACGTCACCAGATTATACGTTAATTTTCCATTAATTATTTAAACTCTTTCAACGTTAATTGAGTTAAGCTCATGTACATACAAGCGTATGTACATACAATGAATTTTGCGTCACAACAAATTATTCGACACGTTCTTTAAACATGAAAATGCATTTAGGATCCTCAAATTGATGATTAAACTGTTTAATCATATACGTATTTGATAATTTATTAACTGTTTATATTATATAGAAAAATAATTTTTTGAATAATACATTTCTATTCAATACATTTCTATTCAATTTTTTTTTGTTATGTTGAAAAAGCTTTTATGTGTAAAATTAAATATACATAAATAATATATAATTTTGGAATAATACCTTTAAGTTAAGTTAAGTGATTGCATTATGCATACATTCCTACTAAATTATTATTTATAAGTGTTATACCGTTTATATGCATTTAACCTATTTTCGTGTAGCGATCTCTGTCGCTTAATATTTTTTGAAGACTAATGGTCTATAAAAGATCAAGGCTATCTCACAACGGGAACATCGTTAGTCCAAAAATCCAATATTATTACGCCAAAGTGTTAAAAAAATTTATTGATGCAGAGTATCAGTTTTATTTCGTTTTACGAGAAACGTGATAGATTTTGTAAAGTCATTTACGTTTTAATTATCTATTTATATCTACATTTATCATCGAAGAGGTTCACATGTCTCTGTCTAAGAAGTTAATTTTAAATTGCCGACCTGTTGGCATTCAACCGGATTCATTATGACTAGTTCAAACGAGTGTCATTTAGCTGTGCTGCTTCCTTTTCACTTATAGCATTATAAAAGAAGAGTTTTCAAATATTCAGTGGCAAAAGCCAATTGAGTATATCCCTAGAGATGGCATTATTGCCGGGGATGTGTGTCAACGCATCTTTGGATCAAGGTTGATTAAGTTTTTGTGGAATAAATTATAATTTATTATCTCCTGGGAAAAGTTCTTTTTACATGTTACAATGTACGACATCATTGCCGATAAAGATATGATTTAATAAGTCTCACAATGCAGTGCGATAGTAATATTAACGGTCGAATGTGGGCAAAAAATCTATAAAAAGTGCATTGAATATTGCCTCCTCAGAGTTTGTAATTCAAATTTTTATCTTTTTTCTATTCTTTTTCCTTTTTTTTCGTATCGATACAATGTGTTCCTGGCTCTCATCAAGCGTCACTTCAAAGACACTCGGTGTTTTTGTATCGTCTCTCTTTTGAATGCCCTACTCTGCGATTATTGGCTGGCTTGGTCGATGATTGGCAAATCACATTCAAAAAATTTCTCGGTGTTCAATGTGCACAATGCAACAGCTTTTATCGGATTTCTTCCCTACTGACAATCGTGATGCTCTCTTCTCTGATCAGCCGCAATCGATTGATGTCTATGCATTTTTTTTTATAATCTTTCGCTGCTTCGATATCGCATGGTTCCATTTGTAGATGCTCTTGTTGTTAGCGACACTTGTAGATATTCTAGACTGTACTGCTACGTCTTGGACTAATTTTAGACTTCCTTTGCGTGATCAGCGCAATTATTGTTGTCGTGCGTCAAGTGATTTATTTCATTAGTAGCCATGCGATATTAAAGAAGCGTTTTTAATTATGAAGGAAATTAGGAAATCATCTTTCGCCATCCTGCATAATTACGTTATATTAATACTGACAATCGATATCGGAATCGCATTATCGATTTTATAATTGCACCAGCATCGCGTTACATCGTATTGCCGTTAAGAGCTGTTGATAGAACACACGTTATCCGTTGATTTCTTACTATCGTTCTACTTATTTTATACTTAATATTTAATCAAGGTTAATATTTAATCGAAGTTAGAGGTTAATAATAGCATGGCGTTATCAAAAAGGATATAGAACAACACAGTGAATGAATAAATAACGATAAAATAACAGTATTGACATTCTCGTTTGTATTAAAAAAACTTAACACTAAAATATTGCCATAAAAACATATAATGATAACGTTTGTCACTAATATAGTATGACACGTAACACTATATACACCTTTATATGACGAGGCGCAGGATAAAGTGGTTCCCGCCGATCGATAATAGATATAGCGATATTCAATAGCGATAAGAACTTTTGTCGGGGTTAATTGCCCCCTCGTTTCGCTAAGACGTTACGATATTATACCAAGTCAGATATTAATCTCTCCTCCAACTCCCACGGCTGTCGTCTCTGATCTTCCCAGTTCGAAACTAATTTGGCATTCTGTGAGAGTAAACCGACGGCGTTCCAAATACATAGGCCGGAGATTGACTGGAAAACCGTCGTGTAAACTGGGACGCGCAACTTTTTATATACGAGTTTCGCAAAACAAGACAGCGCTCGCCGCTGGGATTACGAGTCGCCTTAAACAAAAAGTTTCCGACAGCGTGATTAAATACACATAGCGTTGCTGCGCGACATCTCTCCCTTAACGCTCCATCATGCTTATTTCTCGCATAGCTGATGTTTCATTCTCGACTCTTTGTGACTTGAATTCGCGCGCGACATCGTGCATGTAGAGAATGATGCGAAAAAAAAAATATATATATAAAGCAAGTATACCGATGAGAGTTTCCCGCGGATTGCATTATGCAGCGACAGCGCGAGAAAATCACGTCGTCTGATTACACCTTGATAACGTGAAATTTGGTTTGAATGAATACAGCATGTTACACGACCGAGTATCGGCAGTGTCTGAGCCCAAAGGGGCAGCTCTACTTGAAGGCCGACAGCGAGGGTAAGCCTGATCTAACCTTTAATCATTACTTCCGCAGGAGCCTTGTCTCATCACGCCACATAAATATATATATATTACACGTACACACTTATCACACCCACACATATTGTATTATGCTACATTTTCACCCATTCCGTGTACTCCTCTATCACTATCACGTCACTGTACTCTAGAAGCTGCCACCGCTTGCTTGCTTGCTTTACGAGTTCGAATATTCACTTTGACTTGGCTAACTCATTAATATATATATATGACTTGGCTAATATTTGACATATTAACATATTAAGTAATACATTACTTAATATTTTAATATGTATATGCACACTCATTTTTTTTCTCGGATGTGTCTGGTTTACAAATTTGTTGAAGAATGTCATTCTCGGATTGTATATAACACATCTTATTGGGCTTCGCTGATATTGTCTTCAGCAATACGTATGTCTGAAGCGGAATTAAGAACATGAATGAGAATGAGAATTTAAATTTTTGTGTTTTATTGAAACAAAAATTAAGAATGATAATTGTGCTATAAGTGTGATATATATTTTTCATATGTTTTTTCTACGCTAGGATGATCACCACAAAATCGTTGGAAGTATAGGCGATTAATCCGAGATTTGTCGTACATTTTACGTAAGATTATAAAACGAACGAATTAAAGCAAGCTATTTGATAGTCTCTATACAGATTTTGTACTAACAGGATCATACGCAGATTTACCGTACAATACAAGTAAACTTATACAAACGTCGCGGAGATATGCCAAGCTCGACATTTTACATACCAATAGACGCACACACACACCACCAGAGAATTGTGTTGATTGAATTATGTTGATCGGCCTGAGGCCAATGGATCTATCTCCTTTGATCCGCGCGAAAGTTTGATTCCCTAAATAAAAGGCAACCTAACAGCCACAGCCAGGTCGGTCTTCCTCCAGCGGCGTTGATGATAAAGAGCATCTTATCATCCGTGAAACCGTCAGTAAATCGCGCACTGCGCGAAATTATCGTGACGATAACAATCCTTCTCCTTTCTCTCTGTGTTCTTTCGATAGGCCTGATCTCTTCGAGCTGCAATTTCCCTTTTGAGGACCTGACCGACGCCGAGGATTCGCTAGTGAGCGACACGGAGGACAATATCGGTATCCACATGCCTGCCACATCTACATAACGTCTGATGATTTACCACAATCGGGGGTAGAAATGAGAAAGTATCGCGTCTGTCTAGAGTATCTCTCTTAAAAGGAGATACTCCTTTCCGCGTCCTTGAATATAACTCCCGGCTTCTTGTACAACGTCACTGTGTCGTAAAATATTATTGAGAACTGTTTCCATCAACGGCAAGGCCAAATGTATACAGGATGTCCTCTATATATTCCTCGCGCATCAACTATATATACATATATTTCAAAAAATATTGCGAATATGAAAGAGAGCGGTATTACTGGTACGAGAGCATTTCGATAAAAATCGACGATGTTATTCGTTTGAGTTCATTTCAAACGATCAGTTTTTATCCAATTTAGATTACCGTTGATACATTGTATGAATTGTTCTCTACGGAGCATCCTGTATATAATGGGAAAGAAAAGATTCACATGGCAAGTGCACGAGTCTGGCGAAACAACAGTAGTATAATTTAGTTGAAAATAGCTCCAAATTCATTTTCATGAGCGAAACGCGCACATGAATGTGTAGCATTTCGTAATTGTCACTATCGATCAGTCTAGTTTCGTGATTATCCTCGTTTGAGGCAATATAGTGGACGTTCTACCCCCCGTGTGGTATCGTTATATTAGTTTGAGAACGTCTGTATAGACACTCAATCTACGTGCGATAGCAGTATTCCTGTGATATTATTGTGCAGGTCGCGTAGTAACAGATATTTGTTGTGCCATCGAGGGGAAGTGAGCGAGAGAACGACTCCTTCCCCTTTTTTCTGTTCCCACCTGCCCCGTCGTCCGCGTGTCTGATTTTGTAATGCGCGAATGACATAAGCTCTGCTTCATCATTGTAGGATTGGGATAAGTCTTTGACAAAATTGAAGGGTTCGTTACGACACGCGTTATTAAATTATTTCATTTCGTTGATACCCTTATAGACATCTAATACTGAAAGACAGTAATTATTTACTTATTTGAAGTATTAAGAGCACTGTTGTTCAGTATTTTTGATATTTAAAGTAAGTAATTAATTACTTTTAGTAATAAATTGGCCAGTATTAAAGTGGCCAGTATTAGATTTCTTAAAGATATTAATACTGCTTTTTAAAATAAAACTAAACGTTAGTCTTTTATATTTTTGGTCTATGTTTATTAGAAATCAAAGCTCTCGGGCCAATTCAATCCGCAGTAGGAAATTCTCTTGAATAAACGTAGCCATTTTTTTTAAAGGAATGTTGAAAATATAGAAATCAAATACGGATATTTCTGCAATAACCTGAATTCGGACAGTGGTCGAATTTATTCTGTGGCTTTCGAGTTCACCCGTAACACGTATCAGTTTCTGATTGAATTTCTCAAATCGACTGCTGTCTCCATATCGCAATCATGAGTATATATTTTGATGGTTAATTATTATTTACTGTGAATAACATGTACGTTAATTATTATATTAATAAGCGTGTGTTGTCCACCTTGGAGAGTACAAAATTATAGGAAAAAAATGTTCTGTTGTAGAAGATAATTAATAATGAACATAAAAATTAGTTAATTTCATTCTACAACACATTAAAATAAATTACATTAAAATAAATTACATAATTCTATATGGATTATTGAGTGTTAAAATTTATACAGTATGTTATATTTATTATTATTGCAATCGGTAAATGCAGTTGCACAACGGTAAATTAATTTTATGTATATTATTGATATAATGTATACATTGTTGACAATGTTGTACAGTTATCCTTTCCGAATGGAAGTTTTTATCATATTTTTGACGGAAATCTTATTCTTGTTTTTTTCTCTCGTACTTGTAATGATTAGATATATTTTGATTAAACGTAACAAACCCTTCAATCGGTTTACCTATTTCTGAGTCTGGTTACGTGAATTACCCGCGTTATTTGGGCCTGTTTATGTCGTTGTTCGTAGCGGTAGACTAGCCTGTGTGTCTGCGTGTGTCTGTCTATTTGTATGCCGCTTTGTGTTTGTCTTTCATCACTTATCGATGACAAATTGAAACTAGTCGTCGCGTCAGAGAATACTATTTTGTTACGAATGTCTGCGAAACGTTTATTTATACCACGAGAAAGGCAAACGTGATAAAATGCAAACGTAACATTTTCCTCGATTGAACATATATTATCGATTGCTAATAAAACCAAAGCAGTTTTAGCTGTACTATACGAACTCCAATTAAAACACAGGAATTTTGGGGGAATTTTTACTATAATATCTTTGTTTACTAAAAATAATACTTCCCATCTCAATAAATCATACGGTCATGATAACTACGTACAATCTGAAATTGATATTTTATGCAATTGTTCTTTTGCATGGTGGCGAGCAATTTGTTATTAAAATATCATATTTCTTAATGAAGAACTTTAGTCATGAATAGCGAAACTCGATAATTCGGAGTGTGCAATGTTACTTACGATATATATAATATATCTACAAAACGCGATATTTTAATCATAAAGTTGCGGAAAAATATGATCTTTTTCTTTTATATATATAACTGAAGATGGTTCCTCAGAGATATGTCAGCATGAGTATATTAAATCAGGGACATTTCGTAGCGTACTTATCTTATCTTATGTATTGATTCTGAGTTTTCCTACTAGGACGAATATTTAATTTAATTAATATTTAATATGAAGAATATTTAATATTCAACTGATACTTGTAAATCTTACATATGCTAAAATATAAGATACAGATTAACTCGCGAGTGGAACGGAAAACCTTGGGAATATATATGAAATTCTCTCAGAGAAGACATTTTGGAGACAGATTTTAGAAGTGATTAATCTAGAGTCGTTTTTATGACGACTCCATTATTGTACATTTTGCACGTATGCTCTTATATAACATGTTCTTTTCGAAATAAATATTCCTGCACTAAATTATACTTGCGTAAAATGCATGTTATTAACTTGTCGCTTCGTTCGTGTAACTAATTACTTTTGTAAAAAAGCGAATAATTAAAATCGTGCAATGACAAGCGGTAGCCAAGCGATAGAACAAGCCGAAATAAAATATTTTTATCGACAGTTATATTTTTATTATCACGTTAGTTTTTTAAAAATTCATCGCTCACACGCGTGTTTCTCATTATTAAATTTACATTCTCAAATCAAATAAATTCTGCATGCTCTTGATGTGAAATTGCATGAAAATTTGTTTCTCTGTGTGTGCATCTCTTTAGCACCTAGTTGTGGCACTGTTAAATATTACATACACACTTTTACGTTTCTATTTCTGAAATATTTCTGATTCTATATTCTGATCTAAATTTACTTTTACTCATTGCTTTCACTGTACATAAGTAACTATAATCAGTTTCCTTCTGCACTGGCACCTTTTATTTTCTTATTTATATTCTACTCAAATATATTATGTTATAAATAAATAACTTCTGTTTTACAGAATTTAATATTAAATATGTCTGTCAATAATTAAAATTATTTATTTAATTTAATGTGTATTACAGAAAAAGGAATGAATTAAAAATTGTTTTTTTTTTATTAAAGTTTAATCTTTATATCAATTATTCTAAAATGTTCTATAATATGCGCGCGCGCGATTATAGTGTTACATTATTTTTGGAAGAGTGTAATCATTCTTTTTATATAATATTAATCGCTCTCAATTATATTATCTTTATCGCAAAATGATGAAGAAGATAAATATCTCATTATATTACAATTTACTTGACACTTTTAATATTTCACACGTCCGAAAACATAATGAAGGAATATATTTTATTTATGATATTTATGTTATGTTTATTTATTTTATCCAACGTAATAATAGAGGATTCGTTTATATAAACGGGTATATAGAAATTAATATATACTTATACAATATTAACACAATATCTCTTTTTCATTACATAAACAAAACATTTAGATGAAATATAGCTAAGAATCCATTCTATAGATAGAATAGTTTATTTATAAATAGAAGTATGTATCACAAACACATAGGATACATAATCTCTAATAGAATATACGTGTAATAAAATAAAATATTAAAATATTTGACAAATTTATGATATATATTGATTGTATATTTAAAATATACATATGAATTTTTTTTTTTAGAAAGAAATCCATCTTTAAAAATGTTAATCTTTATTAATATAATAATTCACATATGTAAAATTACACGATATTCTAATGATAATTTTTCTAATGTTTAACGATATACTCGCGAACGCAATTATGTCGTCTTTGCTTTACAGCCTTAATCATCTCATCTTTTTCCATGTACACTTTTCAATGTGCAGTGACCTACATTTCCTCTCGTGCCGCTTTCTGTGTCATTTACCGATTCTTAATAAATATAGATTGTTGAAAGTAAGCAAGTTAGCACGTTGGTTATCGTCCGTGAACGACGTTTGTGCCTATATCGGAAAATCGGCTACTTTGTGACAGGTGTATTTGTTTTCGAGGAATGCAGTAGCCTTTGTATTTGACGTTCGTTCTTTGTCATTAATTATACTTGATACGTCCAGTCGATCCGACGTTCCCGATAACGATAAAAATGGTTTGGATTCTCTCGCTACGGATAATCGATTTAGAGAGAGAAAGAGAGAGAGAGAAAGAGAAAGAGTATGTATGTATGTATGTGGATGGAGTGGAGTCCGTGTGAGATAGAGCTACCGATTATTTATTGTATATAGTCGTAAAATCGAGGGAAAATCAAACGCAGATTCTTTATTTGGCTGATAAATTCGGGTCTTACACTTGTCGCAAGCACCGTTCCGTTTTATATAACGATCGACTGTGAAGTTTCCGAGCAATCATTCATGCTTCCATTCTGCCGGTCATATAAACCATTTCATCCCTTTCGCTCACGACGCT